ACCACCATGAACATTATCATCATGATCACCATTACCATTCACATCATCATCACAATCATCGTCATCACCACTACAATCATCGTCGTCATCATCACCACCATCATCATCGTCATCACCATCATCACCGCCACTATCATACCATATAATTGTTATATTTCAAGTGAATGTTTGGCTTAAAGTAACTATTTGAATTAAAAGTAGACAAGAATGAGAGCGACAATAATGATATTTGGATACATTTTTAATTGTCAAGTGTGTAAAATATGCTGGACCGTTATAAAAGTGCATGGATATTAAAGTCCTCTTTGTCTAATTGATGTACTACAATAAAGTTCATAAAACTCTTACTTAATACTCATTTAGATAGATTGTTTTACATGAATGAGAAAAATTTATTCACTAGCGCTGAAATTGGTATTTTGTCGATTTTTGCTAAAACGGAGATGCACAGGTTACTTCACTGTGTACACCCCAATCCGACAGAAGCCCCTTCTCACGTGTGCGAAAGGTGAAGGTGATGCAGTATGAACTTTAGTTATTAGGAGGCTTTTAGATGAATTAACACTAATGATAAGAAAAATTGAAACACATTTTGTATGTATTATGTAGAAAACATGTTCGTTTACAATCAATTGGAAAGTTACGGTATGTATTCGACTTGTAAGTTATTAGAGTTTATCCTCGATGAGGAATATTGCGATTTCCACGAGTGTTTATTTTTTTTCTCCTTTTCTTTAAATTAGGTCGACGTGGAACCGGCTCCATGAATGAGAAATTTTTTAATTTTTATTTATTACTGTGACATAGTAAAGTAGTGTTTTTATGTGTAACACAGACTAAGCAAGCAAGCAATCATATTAAATAAATAATGCTTAGCATTCATGTAATAACATAAAAGTTATTGAAAGGGACACATTTTTGGAGGTTATCTGAAAACAACCCTAAAAGTTGACAATCAACAGATAGGGACGTGACATTTAATTGATAACAACATTATGTTTCATACCTAACTAGCGGAATATTGGACTAGGCATAGCTTTATACTTGCTATGATTAGGGTTAATGACGGAGTATATATGGAAACGGCATTTAAAGCAATTTCTTCGAGAACTAGCGTAGCTAACTTTTACACGCACATATTTGTTACCAAATACGCATAAGGTTTTCACAGTATTAATGAATTTTATTATACTGTCATCGTACTTTCATTAACCTACTAGATTGCAAGTCAATCCGATCACTGGAAGGGTTGATATATATATGGTCATAAAAAATTTTATTCTCCCTGAAGTATGGTATATTTGTTCAACAATTACCTCTTTCTGATTTGCTGAACATTACTACGCATATAGCGTCGACGAGCTTATCAAGAAATAAAGATGCTTATTTCCGAAGGCGAAGAAGCGAATCATTTGTTTCATGAAAATGTGACGAAAAATAACTGACAATGCTTCAGAAATGTTTTCACATTTAGATGTGGTCTACAATTTGTGAAAGAGTTTCATGTCCACCTGATTAACCAAATGATTTATTTCATAATGAATTTTTCGGTTGTTACTCGTTTGTATATAAATTAATGTGATGTCATAAAATGCCTATAGCAAATGGTGCTACATTTAGTAGGTACCCAGCTTTTACTGCCTGTTGCTTCAGCCCATTTCTCCTTTAAATAAGATCCGGCTGGAAACTAAAAAAAATCAATACAAAAACTGCAAATGTAAATCATGCCTGTGATAAAACTTAGAACTCAAACGGATGAAGGTGACGTATAATATGTAAGTAGGGAGATAGGAATCATGTATATAAGAGAAAGAAAATCTCCAATCTCATAAAGTCTTCATTTGATACTCCACGAGCTTACGTGCAATGTAAAATTATCGATACTGTACCTCTTCCTTTTTTCCATTAATATATCGTTTTTACTTAAATTGAAAATTTAAAAAAACTATTGCGAGTGTTGGGATTAAACATTTAAGTAATCAAAATTGTTAGCTTTTAAATACCTGTAAACAATTTATTTTCACACATTGGTACCGCTATAATAAAAAAAAATGTTGAACTAAACCAAAACCGGGTTTCTAAATACAGAGTGTCTACATATCGATAATTTGATTACAACACGCGGACCCAGTACCAAGTGTAATACGACGTTTGTGCAAGCAATTCATTGAGCGTCATTCGAATTATTCTTTTGACGGCGGCGATGGCTAGCAACCAATGTATATTGTTATTACCGGGTTCAAGCAAACAGTATCACCGTGACTCGTCCCGAAGGAACGACATTCCAAAGTCACATAGGTGTTCCTCCGTTCCAATAGCTATCCCCGTCACTCACATCACGACATAGGTATTTGATACAATGCGCGATCTCCGTTCCCTGGTGGCTGAGCGCGCCACTCGTTGTAGTTCTCTTCAAATCGGGCCATTTCGGCGATGGGAGTGAATGAAATAGGATCACTTTCTTTGCTTACTCACAAGGGTCGTAGGTGCTTATTACTACTAGAAAGGGCGGATGAAAAAAAATTGTAGCACTTATTATAAACCCATTTATGAACAAAGTAAAATATTTTTGTATATTTGTTTTATTATAGGAAGAGTTGGTATTTTATATTTATGTATAATCCACTTTATGTATTCTACTAAAAATATAATTACATTACATTTTATTGCTATTTTTAACAATCCAAAGATTCGCATTAAATAAGTAAAAATAAAATTACATTAAATACAAAGTCAACTTTTTGAATGGAATTGAAACTTATTACAAAGGGAGCAAAAACTTAAATCATTCTACAAAAAACGGCTTAATATTATATAAAATAAGTATTAGAAAGAAGCCACTGGCTAAAACCGTATATCGTGATGTAAGTTATAGGCGCGACAAGGTCACGGAAGTAACAGTCACTGTGATTTTTTTGGAACCGGAACAACAGTCACGGCGATAGAAATGTAACGCTATTCCCCATGTTTAACTCATATGAACGTCTGTTCATAAGCTAGGTAACGCGGACCCCGCCCAGTCTATTATTAGTATTTATGTGGTCCGTGACATTTTTAATAACAAATAAAGTCTCGGTGTCACTTCATTAAGACGGTACCAGCATGTACATCTCGCGGTACCGGATATAGTTTGAACATCGAGTATGTAATCAGAAATGGAGACGAAATAAGAGCCGTATATTCCTGGTAACACATTAGCGATACAGTTCTTATAAATATGAATTCTCGTTTGCACTGAAATACAGACAAGCCAACTACTGACCTGTGTGCACGTCTCCATATATTCCAAAAAATATTATGTATTTATTGTAATAAAGATAATATGTCTAACAATGCCGTGTTGTTCTATTCGGTGGTGTGGGAAAAACAGCAAAACATCTAATTACAAAACAAACGGAATCACATTTCATTGGTAATTAAATATTAAATATGTAATTTTTCAACGAATGTCACAGTAATGATATGGCAGAATAGTTTTCAAACAAATTAAATGACATTTCGTCTCCATTTCTGGTTATATACTCGATGAGTTTGAACTATGCATGGTGGTTTCCTTTTTTAACCGAGTTCAAAAAAAGGAGAAAGTTCTCAAGTCGACTATATGTTTTTTGTACGTATGTTACGCGACAACTCGGCATAAGGGTAACGGCATTTATGAACCGATTTTAATTATTCTTTTTTGTTGGAACATACCTGAGACGTGGTCCCATTTAAATTTGAAGAAAATATTCTACCTCTAAGGGTGGCAAACTAGGGGATGAATGATTTTTGGGGTCGGTTTTGTTTCATTTTATATTTATTTTTATTATTATTATTCTGTACTTTTTTTGTTAATGTCGATATCCAGGTATTTAGTCACATCAAACCCTGTCGACAATACTACGTACCTATTGTAGTTTGCAACCACTTAACGTTATCCATAATTTAGAAGCTTCAATATTTTTTAATATTCTTATTTCTATTTTACACTAAAAAGACTAATTTCATCCGGTAATCACATACTTTAGCCCCTAATATTTGCTATTTCATACTTGACACCAAATTGTAAGTGAATCTACATGACTATAAATTGTACAATCTCCCACTCCTAAAATGATAGAACCTCGACGCAAAAGAAGTACTAACCATATTTGTCTTACTTACTACTTACATAGGATCTTCTAGTATCGGATAGGTACTCTGATATAATTATCAATACATATATTGAAGTGTTGTCGAAGTACAATGTGCAGAATATAAATTTGACGAACAGAGAGAACATCTGCATCTTGATATATTTGCTCCGTAGGATATATTCGCGGTTTAAACATGCATACATTCAGCAACACTCTCTGTGCTCTTTCCAATTCCATCAACGCAGACTTAGTGGCTCCACCCCAGGATATAATGCAATAAAATATGATACATTGCATCAGTGCCAGATACACCATTCTCATAAGCCTGCTGTCAGCAACATAACGAAGCTGTTTGAAGATCTAAATCAATTTCTTTAGTCTCCGTGCAACCCCGTGAATGTGCCGATTGAATCTGAGGTTGTTGTTAAATATAATACTAAGATGTTTTATATTTTGGGTACAAGTAATAAGTGGGCAGTCACACATACCTGTTGAAGGATTTGAACAGTTATGCGCTATTAATGGCACATGGATAGGCAAAGATACACCGTTTTTAATTGTAAATACAACGTATTTAGTTTTTTCCGCATTTAATGTTAAGCAGTTTCTTATAGGTAGTAACTGTATCAAACCTTTTGAGCTAACGAAGCTCATCGCAACTATTCGCACAAAAGGTGAGAGTAGGATCATCTGCATACGAAGCGATTAATAACAATAATAACGCACACACTCAACATAGCCCCGCACTAGGGAAATCATGTGTCGCGGGATTTTTTCCATCCTGTAAGTTCGCGGGTGTCATGGACACACATAGACAACCATAAATTATCCAAACTCATGAGAGAAATACATGTAGGCCATACAAATATTTCTCCCGGCCTAGGAATCGAACCTGGGACTCCTGCGTAGCAGTCCGGCATGGTAACCGTTCGGCCACGGAGGATTCTGCAGTTTTTTATATTTAATTGACAATAAAATGTTTTTCAAACAAAATGAATAAACATGACGGTTTGATTGACCTATGGTTACTAGTTAAAGTGGGGCATAATAATATGTAGTATTTTTAAGAGTGGAACGAGCACAGAGGTGAATGAAATGTCACGTTACCTTTTATAAATATTCACTACAACCAGGTTAAAGACCGATAAAAATTAATAATCTCATAATTTATAATTACTTACATCGACACAACAACACACTTAATTTTCTATATCTATGAGGGCTACTTAATATTATTATAGTTTTAGAACAGACACAAGTTACTAGAAAAGATAACGCAATCTGTAACACGAAATCACTAGAGCTCTTGTAAACATTCATGTTAATATCAACCGGCCAAGGTATAACAACCGCGCTACGTTGGTAAATGTAAGCTTTCATTATGATAGTTGTGGTTGACAGCTCTCAAGTTGCTGAAAAGGTACAGTGACTTCATGTTTTTCATCGGTTTGGGAATTTCCCTAAATCGCAACGACTTTAGCCGTGGCGGCAATGACTTGGTTCCCCATATGTCGATCACCGACCGGATCTCGTTAAATGGGTCGGCGTGCAAGATGATTAGCACAGTCGACGTCCCCAACCCACCAGATTTGAGGCTAGCACGCGCCCCACACGTCTTCATAGCCAGGTTATCCACGTGAAGGTATTGTATTGTCCGGTTGGGGAAATCGTTTTCGTAGACGTACAGCTGACCTTCAGGAACAGTGACTGGCGGATTCTCGATTACCGCGGTGTCGATATGATGCATGTCGTTCCGCCATACACCGCTTTCTAAAGGTGTTTTGTCGTACCGGTCGCAAGTCATCCTCGCTTCAGCGTACAAGTTCACGAAAAACACGATCAAAATCACGCGGTCCATTTATGGCAAATACATGGAAGCGTGTGCCCGGCACGCCATTAAAAGTAACATTTGTTGGTTACCGCACGCTCGCAGCCCGCCGTAATACTATTGTTTTACAGCAAAAAAATTAAGTGAAAACGTTTCGTATACGAAGTTACGTGATGGACTTACACAAGTAACTATCGTTACGGAACAGTTTATACAAAGGTACCCCCGCGATTACGACTAACTTTGTACTAAAGAAAACACACAATTCAACGGCGAAATTTATTGTAAAGATATCAATGAAATGTGGTCCCTTAACATTATGAGCTATATAAATTTAGTAAATCAATAACATTTAAAATAATCTTAGTGGAGCAGGTGAGATAAATTGAAATACAATTATAACTGCTCAGAGCATCAGCATTGCACGATTAATACATATATATATATATATATATAATTGCACTTTAAAATAGTTTAAATGCCAAAATACATCCAAACAGTACATGGTAAGATTACATTTTTTTAGATCAGTAAAGATGAACTGAATGAGATTACAGATCTTTCTTCTTTAAAAATAAATCGAATGAAATTACAGATTTCAGATCTTTGGTGTTACAAATCAATGTTTTAAAATAAGATCACCATTATTATTATATTCAAGTAGATTAGAATAATTGAGATAATTATATCAAATAAGGTAATGATAAAATTATTAATAATGGTCTATACATATAAGGTAATATCACTCTAGAATTCATATAAAATAACTACGCTACTTCAATTAACGTTCACAGTACAAAATGTGAAAAGTGGGCCAATGCACTTTGTGCAGAGAACCAAAAAGAGTTCCGTAAGACAGACATTACTTGTATTCATATCACTACTTGATGGTCATCTTGACGGTGAGACCGCACCTGTCATCACGCACTAGCATAGCCACGATTGTAAGCAGGTTTCATGTTATAATAAAATGTTATGCAAACGCACACGACTGCGGGCGCGACGACGACATCATCATTGTTGTTTAACAAGTTCCAACTGGGCGCGGTGCTAATGCGTGCTGATAAGGGGGGTTGATCTGACACTGAAAATCGGTCTATTCGAGCCATTGACTTACAATTATATGGACGTCGGGTCCGCGCTAAAAAGTGTCCGAACTTATAGGGCGTTAAAATCGTATAGAGCGCCATTCACGCTTTAGTCTTCGTTTGTTCGACTGACAGCGAAGCAAGCAAAATTAGACAGTACTGGGATGACATTACAATTTAAATCTAACGTTTTAGCTTTTTCATATTCCTTTACATGTCACTACGTTTAAATAGGTTGACTTGGGACATTTTTTTCGTGGTTTTCGTATTAGACCCGTCGTCCATTTATTTGTAAGTCAATGATTCGAGCACACAAAAATGCGCAACATGCGTGAAAATACATTACATTTGTGGTAAATAAATGCTGTCGGGCAGTAAAGATGCCAAGCTTAACAGACTACTCCCTTAATGCTGCCTTTTTACGAATGGTTTTTATGTTACAAACAAACGTAAATTTAATTACGGACCAGAGTTAAGTATATTATTATTCTGCTCTCCTTGTCATAACCAACGCATTTACATTTTGATAACTTTCGAGATTTATAATAATAATAATAATAATAATAATAACGCACACACTCAACATAGCCCCGCACTAGGGAAACCCTGTGTCGCGGGTGCCATGGACACACACATAGACAACCACAAATTACACCCAAACTCACGAGAGAAATAAATGTAGGTCATACAAATATTTCTCCCGGCCCGGGAATCGAACCTGGGGCCTCTGCGTGGCAGTCCGGCGTGGTAACCGTTCGGCCACGGAGGCAGTTAAAAATTTATAGATCGATACGAGATAGTAAGTAAACGAGGTGGCAACTTTCATGATTTATACATATTTATACGAGGTCATACGTCAGAGAACTCAAGTGACCGACGTAGCTCGCAAATGCCGGGCATGGAGGAGTCTGCTGGGGGGTTGATCGCCGATGGAGCAGATTTGTTCTAGAGTGGCGACCACGTCAAGGAAAACGTAGCGAAGGACGCCCTGCGGCAAGATGGACGGACGACCTGAGAAAGGTGGCCGGCAGCGGCTGGATGCGGGCAACACAAGATCGGGAGAGTTGGCATGCTCAAGGGGAGGCTTATGTTCAGCAGTGCATGCGTGTAAGCTGATGATGATGAACTTTCGAGATATTGGCACCTAAACTTATTTTTATTTGAAATATGTCAATTACGATGATTTTGTTTAAAAATGGAACTAAAGAAGATATTAAAAAAACCGATTAGAGGGGGTTGTAGATCTCGTTTAGTCGATTACTTACGATATCTCGGTTAGTTACGATAAGAAGGTCAGTATTCTATTCTTGATATAAGAAAACACACTTGCCATTGTTTTGTATGAGAAATCGCACACAATACGAACAAAGCTGTCGGTTGACAGTCAGATAAATTTTTCCTATTAAGGAGTATTAAGTCGTCTGTTGGTAACAGACCAAAATATTGGTAGTACACGCCTGCAATATTATCTAGTACTGAATTATAGTTTAATTGATTGTCATATACAAATTGATTTCCGAATATATTGAAGACAACATTTTAAAATTACACATGCACATTTTATATTAATTAAGAATTCAATATTCATATTTCATTTTAAATATTATTACAATAACATTCAATATTCATATTTCATTTTAAATATTATTACAAAACTATGACCGTGGTCGACCAGCCTAGTCGTAAGGCACACGTTCACTAACCTTTATGAATCAGAGTATTTACAATAACAGCGCAACGTCTGCAAACCGGAATCGCGTTGTAGAAGCAAACTTGTCACCTCTAGACACGACACATCAAACGTCATAGTTGCTGCGTATTCGCAGAACACGTGTCCAACATAAATTTATACGTGTACAATATTAGATAAGGCACAATTCGGGCTGGCGCCACGGACATTGGAGTATTTTAACATTACGCGGACGGACATGACATGATATGCAAGTTATGGAACCCAAGCCACTAAATATATACAGGTCGCTTATACACGAGTCTCAAACTAAGCCTTCGCGTTTCCATATTTTTGTTAATTCTATAAAAGATGTTTCTGGAATTTTGTTCTTGATTCTTGATTATTTACGTTTCCCATTTGATAAGTTACAGTCACCAATCACGTGAAAATGTGTCAATTTTCTAGTAGTAGCAGGCGGAGGCTAGTATGATCGTCGCAGAAATGCAGCATGACAGCCTGTTTACAAGTACGAGCACGCACGTACATATGTACAGTACTACGCAGATTGTCAGCCGGGTGCAATCCATGTAGTAACAGCTTGTTAAACATACCGGGTGCATTTATATTGAAATATACATTTGATTTAAAAGATTTAATATTGTGAGAGAGCACGAGTGAATGTTAGTCGCGTATACAAAAGTTATTAAGCATATTGTATTGCCGTTCTTTCTTAACTGTTGCTAAAATTCACCCTGTATACTTAACCATTCAAGCAAATGTAAAATATATTACGTAAGTTGCGAGACAGTAAATTATTACTATAGACAGAACAAAATGGCGCATAGACAGATATGTATTTCATTTTGTTATCAATTTCTATTTTGTACCGTTAAAATGGCGTTACCATGGTTCGATTGATTTTCTGTGGAAAAACGAATTCGTAAAACAAATCTATGTCTTAGAACAGGGACTGATGGAATAATATAACAAATAAAAGCTGCCAAGGAGAACGGAAACAAAAAAAAATCACATATTTTGTTCCGAAAACATAATACAAAATAAAATATACGTCACGGTTAAAACAGATATAGGTTATTGTCAAATAATGGTTAATTAATTTCTATTAGGTGACGAAAGTAAAAGTGCATTCTCTATAATGTTTAGTACGTATGAATTTACTCTCGAATACTGTATTAAATTTATCATGATTTTAATTACCTCGGTCAAATTTATAAAAATAAAGCGGACGTATTTTAAGGCACTACAGGCTAGTAAGCAATTGACAACATGTTATTTGTTCTTGTGCAGCTACATTTAAAATATAATCTAAAACACTTTGTTACTTTTAAGATAAAGATCAATTTTCAATTAAGTGTTACGACAGCCCACGCCCCGCATCATAACGTAAAATTAAATTGTTATGTAAGTAAGAAGTAATTTTAAATTAGTAGTAATCTCGTGAACATATATGAGTTTGTTCTTCTTGCAATAAACGTATAGTCCTCGTTCTAAAACACTTACAAAGAGACAAATATATTTTGCCAGTGCAGTGATTCGATAAATTTAATTACTATTGCAAATGTATAAATGATATTTTTTTTATTTTTATAATGCGATCACACAACACAAGACAAGACACAAGGACTTTGCATCGCTACACTCTGAAGTCCAAAAATTAAAATTTGATATAAATGACAATAATTTTAGTTTCCTGAATCAATATGACAGTAAAATAGCCTTTTCTGTACCGAGTTCGCAGTCGCAGTCGTGTAGCGCAGTCTCAATATAAAGCCGCTGAAATTAAGCAGCAACAGTTGGGGACGTCATCGCCTCGACTCGGTAAACCACATATGATGTACAGTCAGTATCTGCTTTGCTCAGCCGATAAACAAAGTTCGTATGTAAACCGTTCTTATCGCGGTTTACCTAGAAGCTGCTTAAACTCTACACTACCAAGGCAGTGCTGACTGTCTCATATCCTGCGGGTGTATGAGGCATTGCAGCTGACGTCATCAGCATCGGCACAGCAAAGGCTTAGGGTAAGTGAAATTTTTAACGATATAGCCTGAGCCTATTTTGGCAAACATAAGTACATTACTATCCGAGTAAAGTGGCGGCGTCATAGCCGAGTCAGTTTGAAAACGCCCATGGCTACGTTGATGTTATAATCCTTTCCGCCGTACAAATATGTCGGGGGGCTAACTCTTCAACTCAAAGGTCAGTCTAGCATTCAAATTTAAAAAATAAATCCGCTAAGTTTTTTTAAGTTAAGTGGCTTTAAAAATGTATAATAATATGC